TATATCCCTAGTCCAGAAATGACAACAGAACAGTCATACCCTTTGCATTCCTAGTCCAGAAATGACAACAGAACAGCTATACCCTTTGTATCCCTAGTCCAGAAATGACAACAGAATAGCTCTACCCTTTGTATCCCTAGTCCAGAAATGACAACAGAACAGTCATACCCTTTGTATCCCTAGTCCAGAAATGACAACAGAACAGTCATACCCTTTGTATCCCTAGTCCAGAAATGACAACAGAACAGTCATACCCTTTNTACCCTTTATATCCCTAGTCCAGAAATGACAACAGAACAGCTATACCCTTTATATCCCTAGTCCAGATTCTGTGCTCAAGCCCAATTTCTTGTTGCGGTGAAAAATTAATAATTCACATTATATATATATTCAGTGATTTGGAATAATTTTTCAAAAGATGTAAAGCCAAATACCATTTTCAAGGCTTACATTTAACTTTTTGATCACGGCACACAATTTAAGCCGATTACAAGAAAGTTTGAGGTTTGAGCACAGAATCCTAGCTTGAGGGTTAAAACGCTTTCATGAATATTGACCCTGTACTCACCTGTCCTACCACCTGTTGGTTACAGGCCCCGCACGTTCCCTTGGAGGTCGTACTGACCCCCTGTCTGTTCATGTCACTCTCTAGGTCACCGAGCATGCTCTCGAGCTGTCCTCCATAGCCCGTTGGCTGGGGGGCGGGAGTAGGTGGTGCCGATCCCTGGGAGGCGTTCCGGCTTTTCTGCGGCCGGGCGTAGGAAGGCTCGCTGTGAGGCGAGGGTGAGCGGGCGTGAGGCATCGACATCTGCTGTTGTCTCTGCTGGGTATTAGATACCTGCAATCACACAAACCACATTCGTTTATCAAATGTCGCTGGTTTTAATCATTTGAGGAAACTTGTTTCTAAGTACAGATAGCTATCAAGGAAGGAAAGCAAGAGGAAGCATCCCGGATTTCTAAGCTTACAGAAGGGATGTCTGTTTCAGTTTCTGAGCACACATTGCATATTTAACGAGGTATGAAGCTGAAAAGTTTGTTTTAAATGAACGATTGGAAGTCTTATAATATCTTTCATTCTACACATATATGTATCAGTTTGTGAAAACTTATGACAAATCTTTTCACCATAATTAAAATACATGTAATAAAGCATCCCTTTTATTTCAACTCAAACAAATTTGATACCGATATTTCTATATTGAAGACAATGTAATTTTTTGAAGACATGTAAGCCTGTAGAGTGACCTTACCTTGAACTCTGACAATGTGGCCATGAGGTCATCCAGCTCCCTGGTGGCCGTGGAAGGGGGAGGTAACTGTTGTGGGGTGGCCACCATGTTGCTTTGGTTGCAGCGTTGTATGCTGTTGACTTGATGTGATTGTACGTTGTTCACCGTGTGGGTTTGGGCCGTCTGCTGCTGGTCTGGGGTGTACTCGTAGTTATCGCTGTCTCCCGGCTCAGGGCTGTCGATCACAACAAATCACAATTATATATCACAGTGTCGTTCTTATAAAGAATAGCTAGAGATCTTTTTTTAATGCAATGCCTATGTAAGTGGTTAAATTAGGGACCTCTGGCTTACCAGTCCGATTCTCTACCAATAATTGAAACAGCTAGTATTTTACCAGGGTGACATACTCCTCCTCCAGGAAAGAACTTGTCTCAAGTTTTCCCAAGGGTGATTTTTGTGAAAGTATTGCAGAGCATTTTGGTCAATATTTCCCAGGTCCTCACCTGGGCAACTATGTAACAGACATCCTTATTTTTCATTGTCTCAGCTAGGAGTCGAACCTGAGACCTATGGTTTACGATTCAGTGGTCTCCTGCTCTATCCAATCAGCTGAAGAGAAAATTTCCCAAGCCGAGTCAGTAGTAAGAGGCTAGTATTTTAACATGATGACACTACAAAGGTTAGAAGAAATATGACCTCTAGGTTATATCTCTCTAAGTTCTTGCGCCAGTACTTAAGTGTATTATTCTTGCAGTGCTTTGTTGACTGTGTATGATGTAAGTCTGATTTGTAAGGCCTGTTTCTAGCCCTCTATGATAAAGCCGTTACATACTCTATGTCTGTAGCTGCTGGTCAAATAAGACAAAGCTGTTGTTATATTTTCTGTACCTACCCCCTCTAGTAGTTTTCCCTCTATGACAAGGCTGTTATGTATTCTGCACATACCCCCTGTAGTTGCAGGTACTCTTTGACAAGGCTGTAGAATATTCTGTAACTACCCCCTGTATTTGCCGACCATCTTTAACAATGCTTTTACATAATTCACTGCATACCCGCTCTAGTTGTTAATCCTCAATGACAATGCTGTTACATATTCTGACATACCTCCATAGTTGCTGCTTTGGTAATGCTGTTACATGTTCTGAACCCACCCCCTGTAATTGCTGCCTATCTATGGCAATACTGTTACAAATTCTGTACCTACCCCTCTGTATGTAGCTGCTGCCTATCTATGGCAAAGCTGTTACATTTATTGTACCTACCCCCAGGTATTGCTGCCTATCTATGGCAATTCTGTCATTTGTTCTGTACCTATACCCCCAGCAGTTGCTAACTATCTATGGCAATGCTGTTACAAATTGTATACCTACCCCTTGTAGCTATTGGCCCTCTCAGGCAGGGCACTCTCTAATTGGTCCAAAAGGTTATCAACAGTGTTTCTATTCTCGTTACGGGCTGGTTTCGGGGCCACAGGTGGGGGTGGTCGGGCCTTGCCCCCATTTCCCCCGTTTCCTCCTCCTCCTCCATTTACAATATGTTGATTCGCTGGAAATAAAATGAAATTCATGATAAGCGTTGTATATCTACTTATTCTTCTGTATTTAGTAAGCTATCAGACATTGAGTTTGTCATCACAATAAGTTTTGATACCAGAAATGTAGGCAGTATAAATTGAGTTTGTCATCAAATATATTGTAGACATTGAGTCTGACATCAAATACAGACACTGAGTTTGTCATCAGACATGTATACATTGAGTTTGTCATCAAACATGTAGACAATGAGTTTGTCATCAGACATGTAGACATTGAGTTTGTCATCAGACATGTAGACATTGAGTTTGTCATCACATACAGACATTAAGTTTGTCATCAGATACATACACAGTAAGTTTTTTACCAAACATGTAGACATTATTAAACCGAGGTTTAATCAGATACGTAGACATTAATCATGAGTTTGTCATCACATGTAGACATTGAGTTTGTCATTAGACATGTAGACATTGAGTTCGTCATCAGATACATACACAGTAAGTTTTTTACCAAACATGTAGACATTATTAAACCGAGGTTTAATCAGATACGTAGACATTAATCATGAGTTTGTCATCACATGCAGACATTGAGTTTGCTGTAATATGACATATTCAAACATTGAGATTGTCATCGTAAATGTTGCAAATATTGAGTTTTTCATTCGATATGTTGCAGATATTGAGTTTGTCATCAAATGTATTGTAGACATTGAGTTTGACATCAAATATGTTGTAGGCATTGAGTTTGTTATCAGATACTTACAGACATTGCGTTTGTCCACTTCAGCCATAAACTGGGCCGAATTGAGGTCCTGCAGGAGCTGGTCCAGCTCGGACAGGTTGTTGGTTAATGTCGACATTTGTTTCGGTGCAGGAGGTGACGCCAGAGATTTGTTGTCGAAATATGGGTCTGAACTTCGGGAGGTACCCGAGCTTGGCGTCTGATCGCGGATCACCGTCACACTCTGACCCTCATAGAGTGGCTAGAAATACAATCAAAACAGAAAATCCTCAAATTTATTTTTGAACATGATAAATTAAAACTGCTACCTGGTACATAAAACACAATTCATCTTTAAGTGTCTTTTTCAGTTTGGGAAACATTCCTGCCTTTATTGTCTGGTCTTCATAATAGAGATCACAAACATCTCTCATCAGACACAAGACCTAAAAGCTTCGCTCATACACCCCTTAAGTCACATTTGAACCTTACCAAATCAGGTACTGGGCAAGTCCAGTTTACACATTTAAGGGTAAATGAGTTAAATATTGAAATCTTGTAATAAATTAATCACATATTAATTGACTTGAACACTGAAGTCATATATAGTTGTCGCCAGGTACTGGCCGTAGGTCGGTGGTTTTTCTCCGGGAACTGCTTTCCTCCACCACCAAAAACCTGGCACGTCCTTAAATGACCCTAGCTGTTAATAGGACGTAATTAAAGCACAAACAAACGAAACAAAATAAAACATTTATAGTTTACGATTCCGACACGAGGTAACAGACACCAACCTGAAGTACAACAGCTAGTCTACAGGTATATATCCCGAAGTCAGATTCTCTGCCTAATATACCAGCAATAGAAATAGCACTACAGTTTTATTGATCACAAATTCTTCAGCTACTGAGTCAAAACTATCAAAATATTTGCGTAACACGCCAACACAATTAAAGTAATGACTAATAGGACTTGTATAAAGACCAATCATGAGTATACCCAAATACTGAGTCGATAGTTGACTTGACGGTTATTGGGCAACACTTTATTTTTTTATTTTTTAACATTTTTACAGATTTCATAAAAAAAAAAAAATGGCGATAAATTCTTTCATGCCTACGTCAACAAGCATGATGTATTATTGCAACTCATTTCGTAGTCATTCCAGACATAGGTGAAATGTTATGTTATGTTATAAATCAATACTGCTGAGATCAACGTTAAGTAGTTTAGAAAATAAAAGTGTCATAATAAAGTTTATGGTACCATTCTCCTGCAGTCTTGTGTCTGTTACAAAACGGATACAAAACAATTTACTCCAGCAATCCATTACAGTTGATGGCTAAATGTTAGTTACATGTAAGTGATCTAATTTCTGGTCTTGTGTCGGATACAAAACAATTTACTCCAGCAATCCATTACACTTGATGGCTAAATGTTAGTTACGTGTAAGTGATCTAATTTCTGGTCTTGTGTCGGATATAAAGTGTCTGATACGACGGAATTAACTTATAGCCACTGGTTTATTTGTGGTAAGTTAATTTTGTACCAATTACCGTTGATTATATACATTCTTTGGTCTTGTATTAAATACAATAAAATCAACTCCATCACTAGCTCTACTGATGAAACAATATTTTTATCAACACAGATTTTCAAATTGAGCAGGAAATCTTAAACGTGAGTTACCTTCCATATTGTGTAATCACTAATCAGGTCTTGTATATTACCAGGTATATAGGGACTTGGTATACTTAACAAACCTCTTGCTCCCCTATTTCTCTCTATACTTCACTAACTCTATATATATCCACTACCCAATCTCGCTATCTCTAAAACCAGGCAAATTGCCATCCTTCCTGAAGCAGAAAACTGTTTTATCTGAGAAAATACAACATGCACTATTAAGCTTGAAAGACAAGTACCATATTTCTGTAATAAAGCAATCTGCTCTCTTATCACACGACAGGTACACACAGAAAGAGAAATCTCTGATGAAGAAATCATTTCTTTATCAGTTTGGACAACTACCACATCTCTCGAATTAAGTTTGCCCTTTACCTCTTACATACAAATACACCGCATAGAATATAGTTGAATGACCAGTGACTGATTTAGAGGAAAGGGGCTGATTTAGAAGGAGGGGCTGATTTAGAAGGAGAGGGGCATATCAAAAAGAGGAGGGGCATATTTAGAAGGAGATGGACAGATTTAAAGGGGATGGGTAGATTGAGAGGGGACCCTGGGGGGCATATTAGGATGACAACTTCAGTAAAATACATCTTAAAGACCAACTGTCTATAACCCTATGCTCAATCCTGTCTCCCTGTCTATAGCTACCACCTGTCTTTAGATACAACTTTAAATAGTCAAACCTGCCTTAGAGAGCACCTGTCTGTAACTACAGTCAAACCTACCTTAGAGACCAACTGTCTATAACTATAGTTAAACCTGCCTTAGAGACCACCTGTCTATAACTATAGTTAAACCTGCCTTAGAGACCACCTGTCTATAACTACAGTCAAACCTGCCTTAGAGACCACCTGTCTATAACTACAGTCAAACCTGCCTTAGAGACCACCTGTCTATAACTACAGTCAAACCTGTCTTAGAGACCACCTGTCTATAACTATAGTTAAACCTGCCTCAGAGACCACCTGTCTATAACTACAGTCAAACCTGCCTTAGAGACCACCTGTCAATAACTATAGTCAAACCCATCTTAGAGACCACCTGTCAATAACTATTCGAACCTGCCTTAGAGACCACCTGTCTATATAACTATAGTCAAACCTACCTTAGAGACCACCTGTCTATAACTACAGTCAAACCTACCTTAGAGACCACCTGTCTATTATTACAGTCAAACCTGCCTCAGAGACCACCTCTTTATACCTACAGTCAAACCATCCATAAAGACCACCAATCTATTACTGTTTAAAAAATACATGCCAAGCTTACTATTTAACGTACCAAAATTAGACATTCTTATCTAAATGAAGATACACTGAAAGTTTAAGCCAATCAATCGTTACATGTTATTTAGGCGTTTGTGAAAACCCCGGATGCCAATGTTTTGACAGGCAGACAGACAGACAGACAGACAATGATTTCCCTAACATGCTCCTGTTGATGAAGCTGCCTAACCTTCACCGAGTCACTTACTACCAACAACAAGACAGCGCGCCTATTGTTAATGAAAAACAAGTTTTTGTAGCACACCAAACACGCCGAGCTGACAGACACACTGAGAACTATTTGTAAGCCTGAACAACGTGCCTGTACAATTATGAGTGGATTTCTATTCAAAGATGTTTATTTTCGGAGTTGAAGCTAATAATATCTTTCTTTTTCATTTGTTTTTTAATGTACAGTAAGTTTGTAAATGGGATCCAGGTTTGAACTGAACATGTATATTCTGTCGGCTTTAATTATCTCACTGGAAACTACATACAGGGCTGAAACGTACCATATCCTCCTGGCTTTATTTCTGTCTAAAAGATTCTAGGAAAGCAAAATCTGTTTTGCCCACAGATGAAATGAAACTGTGTTTTTGTTACAATGTACTATGCAGAAAGTACTAGAACTACAACGAGGGATTTCCTGTTAGAAAGTCCTTAGTCCAGATTAGCATTACACATATACACACACACATGCATACACAATGATTGTGTGAGAATTTCTGATCACGGATGTGGTGTAAGTGCTGCACTTGATTGGAATGTCACATTGCCGTGTAGAATGCATGAGGAATCTGTCCAACACTGGGTTGATTGTGTGTCCACCTGCACCACGTTATAGCCCCGACAGACGTTCCAACCATACCGAATGGTGATACATAATCTAGTGTCAGCACCATATGGAAAACCAGCTGAATTCTATGCACAAAATATCCTTCCAGTTCAAACTAATGAATTTTCAATTCTGTTGCTGTCGTATCTGATTCCATTCAAGTTGTGACAACCAATGTTTTATCATCAAGACACAGATTTTGTTCGTGAACTTTCTGTAATGCATAGCTATATTCATAGCCTTAACCAATGCATGTGCTGGTGCAATCCTGATAATCATACACTGCAATTTGCCCTTCAAACAGAGGATGAAAAAGGTAAAAGGTGAACTGCATGAAAATTACCAAGTATACTCACCTCATCAAACTGACGGGGTGGGGGTATGCTGTCGAGGACCTCCTGGGGAGGGGGTGGAGGGAGAGGGGGTGGGGTCTCGCTCCGGTGTCCCGCAGAGTGATGACTACTCTGGCTCTGATAACTGTGCTGCCTTTGAACAAACTGCTGTTGTTCGTAGCCCGGCGAATGTTGCACCTGACGATTATCGTATCCCGACGAATGTTGCACCTGACGATTATCGTATCCCGGGGATTGTTGCACTTGGCGATTATCGTATCCAGGAGACTGTTGCACCTGGCGATTATCGTAACCTACTGACTGTTGCACTTGGCGATTATCGTATCCCGGAGATTGTTGCACTTGGCGATTATCATATCCCGGTGACTGGGGTAACTGTCGATTATTGTACCCTAGTGATTGCGGCACTTGACGATGCTCGTACGAGTTGGAGTTTGTGATCTGTTGGTGATCATATGCCCCGTCGTGACAGTTCTGTTGGTCACTGTACTGGCGCTGAAGGTGTTGCGGTGGCTGGTGGTTATAATGTTCTTGTTGCTGTTGTTGTTGTTGTTGTTGGTACTGTTGTCGTTGCTCTAGTTGTTGTGCAGGCGGAGACTGCGTTCGGGGTGCGGGCGATTGATGTTGATACTGATTTATCTGTGCAGTCGTGGACTGGAGGTCCGCCAGTAATGCATCTGTAAAGACAGAAAAACACGAAAACATGAACCAGGTGTACTTTGCACACAGAGTTTGAATAAACACTTGTCCTCTAGTCTGTGACCAGTAAATCTCATCAAGGACTAGTTCTTTGGACTTACAAAATAGATCAGCAAGGACTAGTTCTTTGGACTTACAAAATATATATGTTAATATCATGATATCGTTAGATAGATAACAAAATAAAAATATTCTTTTAACATAAGTGTTTAACTCATTCACCCCTGAAGACACATTTGAACTCCTCCAATTCAAAGGTTGGAATAGTTCATTATGAAATTTCAGGGGTGAATGAGTTAAAACACAGATATATTGCATAATAACTGTCAAAATTTTGCTAAAACTTTCAACATGTCTTTGTGGCAGTAGTTACTTAATGTCCCCTACTGTCAATTGCCCTTTTTTCATGAAATTTTTCCTGAAGGCAATTTTTAGACTACGGGGTAGTTACATTGACTCGGAATAGCATAAAACCTATTCAACAAATCCTTTGGCCTTCCAAGCAAAAAGTATAGACGTCTAACTACGGCATATGTCAAGTTACCTATTGTTAATCACAGTGATGACAGTAAAAAAACAAAGGCTCCGTATATCATACGTGGGTAATACATGTAGTTAACAGTACATAAACTAGATATTACAAAAACACACTTCCTACAAAGACAGAACGACAGGACCCCGTTATAGGAAACACATTCAGACACAGTTACACACCAATTCCAACCATATCTTATACCTGTACAGTTTATTGCACTAGCATATGTATTAGTAAGCAATATGCCATCTTGCATTCGACAGTTACTTGCAATTATTGGTGTTCTTTTTTACTTATTCCAGATGATATCTGGCAAATGGGTTTCCAATGAGCCAGCTGAGGCACCATGTCTCCAACAGTTTGAACTTTTGCTGAGTTTGAGCGAAGTACTCATTGTGAGCCAAGGTTAACCAAGCTCAAAATGAGCCCATGTAGCCGACTCAAAAGTGTCAGTAGTACTGTACATAGAGAAATGTTAGCTGCAGATCAGATTTTGCCTTTTTATCGCCCTCGATAATGAGTTTGAATTTATTACTACAGTGAATGCTAGTACACAGCATAATATGAAAAGTAATTAAATGTGACGGGCAAAAATTAACATTTGGCAAATATGGATTTCACCTGCGAAAGGTGAAAGTTTGATCTGGCGAAAAGTCCCCGGTATACACAGTATTATGGCCAGTTATATAATATTACTCATGGTCATAAACTAAAGATAATAAAATGAGCATTTTTTCTGCAAAAAGAAAATAACTTTTTGGACTTCCCAAATGTGATCTCTTAATGAAGGTTTGACTGTATTTTACTTAAAGTAGGAAACTACCAAAGATACTCTTTGGAATATGAATTTCTTAAAAGACAAGACAAGTGTATTTTCCTAATATATATCACAGACACAATATTCACTTGGTATATAAGTAGATCAATTTACATCATGGGATATCCACGTCAGTATATTATATATATACTGTATGTAAATACTGACTCCATGAACATTGGCACACTGATGATATACCGGTTTAACACAAGAAAGTCGTCCATGCTGTTCCCATGATAAGGAAGGCTAACTCAGAAACATCAAAACACATCAACATTAGCATTCCAAAAAACAAACCAGAAATTCTCACAGCGATTTTTTTTTCAAACAAAATAAAATAATAAAAATACTTAATTTCTTCCTTGCGTGGTAACTTGGGAGATTTCTTGACAAACTTGAGCATTTTTGAGATCAGTCAGTGGCCCAGTGGTATGATATAGTATATACACAGTCTCTCTGGAGCTACTCCAAGCCTGATATATACCACAGAAAGTGGCAGCCACAGGGTCCGGTGGTGTGCTATCTTAGTCTACCGACATGTTCAAAGACCAGCATCGCCCCCTCTGATACATGTAGCTATGTATGTGTGTCTATATATATCACGCTCCTCTCTCTATCTGCAGATATATATATATATACACCGATTCTTACATCCCTTCAATCCTGTTTCTATTTTTGTTATTGTTGGTCGCTTATGAAACAATTCAAATATCTCCTAATATGTTAATGGTAATCTCTGTTCGTGACCAGACGTACCATAAATAACCTTTTAGTTGACCATGTACTGTAATAATCCTTTTAATGGTGACCATGTACCATACATACCCTGATAGCTGACCATGTACTGTAATAATCCTTTTAATTGTGACCATGTACCATAAATACCCTGATAGCTGACCATGTCCTGTAATAATCCTTTTAATGGTGACCATGTACCATAAATACTCTGATAGCTGACCATGTACTGTAATAATCCTTGCAATAGTTGACCATATGTACCATAAACATTCTGATAGTTTACCATGTACTGTAATAATCCTTTTAATGGTGACCATGTACCATAAATACCCTGATAGCTGACCATGTACTGTAATAATCCTTGCAATAGTTGACCATATGTACCGTAATCATCCTTGTAATGGTGACCATGTACCGTAATAATTCTTTTAATGGTGACCATGTACCGTAATCATCCTTGTAATGGTTTACCATGTACCAAAAACATTCTGATAGTTTACCATTTACTGTAATAATCTCATTTGACCATAAACATTCTGATAGCTGACCATATACCGTAATAATCCTTTTAATGATTGACCATGTACCATAAACATTCTGATGGTTGACCATGTACCGTAATAATCCTTGTGATGGTTGACCATGTATTACAGACACCTCTAAATAACATATACAACCCTGTTTTCATAGCAGTATTTTTTTCAAGATTGTATTTATTCTTTTAAATTTATCAGCAATGTTTGAAGCATTGCCTTCATTCAGCCTATCTCAGGAATATTGAAGTAAGCTATGGAATTTATTATTTCACTTTTTTAATAGCATTATTATCAGATTTTATTAGTTCTCTTAAAATACCTTTCTTATAGCTCAGGACCTTTAAGTTCACTGCAGAGTTTTTGCCATTTTTGAGACATATTTGCGGTGAATTGGTAAGGCCTCAGATAAAAATTATACCCTTTACCGTTTACATCAAAATAGTCCTGTATTATTTTATCATTCCAGCCCCTAGGGGAGTGGCCTCAAGAATATTGACCCTTTGTCATATTAAATGACCTTGAGGACTATGACCTCATTAACAAGGTATAGAACGTTAAGATTGATTATAATTTGATATCTCGCGAAACAGACCTACTTTGCACGACAATGTCAAGTTTAAATGTATCTGTTTTTAATTGAAAGGTAACACCACTTTTTTTGTCACCGACGGTGAAACATGATATACAAAAACACAGGTATTAATGTGTTACCTCAGGTCTCAATTCCAACAAATCTACCAGGTGGTTCTTCGGCGATCACCCTACACAATAAAGGGTTATCATTTCAGATTGATGTAGATTTTGTAGAGATTTCTATAGATGCATTCTTGAAACTTAAAATTGGACATTCAAGAGATGAAATTCATTCAAGTCTTATTTTTTCTTTATAAATGCAATTATTTAGAGAAGGAGGGGCACTTTTGTTTCATGATACACAATGAATTGTTATTTATTTTTCAGAAGAAAAAAAAGTAGAGACACATTGAATGCCTCATGTCAACTGTACAGCAATATATCTATTACAGAATAGCATGGGACCAGTTTGTAAGTGTTATATGTATTAGCAAAGCTTCATGCAATATTGCCAGTGTCTTTTAAGATCTTCCGACACAATTTTGCTGATTTAAGACACTTTGCGATGAGGTAACAAGTGGATTTTTTATTATTAAATTAATGACAAAGTAAATATATTGCTTTAAGGGAACTTTATGACAAAGTAACAATTTTTTACAGAAACTTTACAACAAAAAATAAATTGTTGTTTTAAGAAACTTTAGGATAACATAATGAATGGTGTTTTTGGAAACTTTATGTCAAACTGATGGGTGTATTTTTTAGAAACTTTATGACATAGTAATGAGTGTTCTTTCAAGAACTCCGCCACTGGGTCGCGGGTTCGAGGCTTAGGTGGGGCACTCACAACGTACTGGTCATAGGTCGGTGGGTTTTTTTTTTCTGGGAACTCCGGCTTTCCTCCACCAACAAAACCTGGCACGTCCTTAAATGCCCATGACTTAAAACATAAACAAACCAAACAAACCAAATCTTTCAAGAAACATGATGACAACCTTAGAAGTATTGTAAGGTGATTGAAAGCAACATCACTGGTAGTGTCAGTTTATGAACTTTACGTGACAAAATAACAAGTGCCACTTTTAGAATGTTTACAGCACTTGAGTGGTGTCCAACCTGTGAGGAAAATGACAGGAAGTCCCTCATTAAGCTTCCGCTGTGTTGTATAGGTCTGCAGGTCAGAGGTCAAACATACATCTCCGAGGGTATGTAACACGAGGATATGTAACGTGCAGTTGTGATGCAACACCTCTATAAGTGTCTGTTATTGTTGTTAACTCATTCACCCCCGAAATTTCATTATAAACTATTCCAACCTTTGAATTGGCAGCGTTCAAACATGTCTTCAGGGGTGAATGAGTTAAATAATACCATGGACAGTATATGAAGGCCTCAATAATTTGTCCATGAGAAACAAACTTTATTAAGAGTATCATTTTCATTACATATCAACTAGCTATCTAAATTGGCTACCAGCCGCCAAATTTTTATGAAGAATTTCCCAGCTGCATTTTACCACTAACTTATCTCCTCCTATTTGAGAACTTAGGATCAGACATCTAAGTGATCAAAATTATTAGAACTTTTTTTTCTCTAAATCAGTTTACTAGCTATCAAACCAGGCCATTTTTCCAAAATAGAGTTATCTCCCTTTAAACACAATTTGTTCAAAATTAATTATTGAATTACATAAAGGATTACTGCTGAAGTCTGCTCTATATTCTACAACATATGTGTACATACATAATAAACTTATAGAATTTGTTTTATTAAATCTGAATGAAATATACATGAATGTCCCTAGAGTTCATTAGGAACTAGATAAAATGTATATGATATGTACATTTTTGCAACGTACAGATCACAATCTACTTGATGTATAATCACTTAGTTATGTAAAGAAAACGCCTGTAAGACTGTGATTTAAATGTATATAAACTGTCAGATTTCTAGACATCAACTGTCAATTAACAGATTGAAAACATATTTGTACGTACAGAAATGTACAAGATCTATTATCATCTTTATTAGTTTAACAAGAAGCGTACAAATAAAAATTCTTGTGTCACATGAGTGTTAAAGCATTGTATCCCACAGTAAGTAAAAAGCCTACATTATGGAGACAGCAGACAGCTGTGTATGTAATAGTATCTTTATATCTTATATTTATATCCATAAATCTGAGTGAGGACAGGATTACTGTAACAGACAGGGCGCAGACAGGACCCAGGTGTTAGTTAAAACAGGGCACTGATAGCAAGTCAGAGGATGGTTTAGTCTCGCTTATCTTTCTTACTTCTATATATCTTAACTCATCCACCCCTACATACTTAAACTAGACTTGCCCAGCCTATGATTTGGTAAGGTTGAAATGTGACTTTAGGAGTAAATGAATTAAGACGATGAACATTTCCTAAACTTACTTTCCAAGTGGATTGATTCCACCAGACATCTTGTACACAAGTTTTTTACTACGGACAAATGGACAGAATACTGACTTCTCACTTAGCTGGATATATCATGAAGGTTCATGTGGTTGAGTGGCGCAGTGGATAGCGCACTTGCCTTTCACTGAGGCAGCTAGGGTTGGATTCCCTGTTGGGACATGAAAAGGTATGGGGTCACCTACACTAAACCTTGGGTTTTCTCCAGGTACTCCAGTTTCCTTCCACATTAAGACCTCTGATGCCCACTAACATCCCGGCCAACAAGAGTGATTGATATAAGTTGAAATAACTTGAATCATAATTGTTGCAAAATGTACAAAGTTTTTATATTTTAATGAAGGTTCAGGATAGAAATATTCTGGTACGGTAACCAAGAGTTGTAGCTTACCACACAGTAAATACTATGATGTTCCACTGACAGTGGAGTGATTCCCCCGGACAGGTGGTATCTGGTAATGGGGGAGAGTCTGGGAGGACAGGTAGAAAGATAAACAAATTTATCACAGTTGAGGAATACACGGTGGATCATCCAACATAAGTGCCAAGCCTGATAACAACAGAACCAGAAAAAAATACCGTGAACAATTTGTGAAAAGCTGATGAAGAAATACGGTATTTAACCTAGAAAATAAGGTACAGGTCTATAAAGACATAAGTGACTTGTTTACTGATACAGTCTCCCATACGACTCTATTTCAGAAAAGTTACAATAGAATAAAAAAAACAGATTTGCTTTCTTTAATTAGATTGATCTGTTTACATAAAGACTATTAACCTGTATTTTACTTAGGAAAACTTTCAGAACCCTATGTTAACTCCTAGAAACATTTTTAGAACATTTTCTTTTACAAACTCCAATCAGATGAGGATAAAAAAAAGTCCAATGGATGAGGGTAAAACATACCCAATTAAATGAGTGTAAAACAGACCCAACTAAATGAGGGTAAAACAGACCCAATTTAATGAGGGTAAAACAGACCCAACTAAATGAGGGTAAAACAGACCCAATTTAATGAGGGTAAAACAGACCCAACTAAATGAGGGTAAAACAGACCCAATTAAATGAGGGTAAAACAGACCCAACTAAATGAGGGTAAAACAGACCCAATTTAATGAGGGTAAATAGACCCAAATAAATGAGGGTAAAACAGACCCAATTTAATGGGGGTAAAACAGACCCAATTTAATGAGGGTAAAATAGACCCAAATAAATGAGGGTAAAACAGACCCAATTAAATGAGGGTAAAACAGACACAATATCATGTGGATAAAACAGAGATGAGGCTAAAAAGACTCCACCAGATCGGGGTAAACCTATGT